TAGGCAACCGCCGGGACGCGGGCGCGCCGGGGCCGGGCGCGTGCTCGAGTCGGCAGGCGCGCGCGGCCGCCCAGGGGCTCCCGGAACCCGCTTGTCCTGCGGGAAAATGTCTTCCAGGCAGGGGATCGGACTCCGGCTCAGCCCCAAACCGCTGACCCCAACAGACCCGTGCTTTAGCCGCTACAGCTCCCAGAGGTTGTCCAGCGCTTCGCAGAGGCAACCGGTTTCTATTTCTTCTCCCAAGCACTTCCCAGGAAAATGCTGATTCTTATCCCATCTGACAAATCTACAAAGGAGAAATGACCCCACGGTCTGACATCTTAAGATTCCAGTCAGGGTATTCCATTGTGGATCCCTCTAACCCCGGAGTCGGGGGTTTTCCAGTCTACCTGTATAGCCATAGTAGGGCCCGGACCCCATTTTAGACCCATCCAGTCCTAATCATCTCTCCATCACCAATAGTATGCCACACAGCAGGGACTCCTGGGAAGTGCTTTGTGAAATTAATGGGATAAGGTGAATCTGAATCCTGTAATCGGGAAATGCAACATCTTTGTTGAGACACAGTTTACATACCATAAAATTCACCCATTTAAAGTGTACAATTCTGTGGGTTTTATCAGCACCACGCTCAGCCAGTGAGCAAACCGGCCATCCCTATATACTATCCGAACCCGGGGCCTTGGTGTTATCAGCACCGCACTCTCCCGAGTGACCCACGGGCCGGTCCTTCTCTGGGTTTTAATATATGCACAGTACAACTGTATTCATAGTGCATCTGTCACTGCAATCTAATTTTCAATATTTTCCTCACCCCACAAGGAAGCCCTGTATCCATTAAGCAGTCACTCCCCAATCCCCCATCTGCCCAGCCTCTGGCAACCACTAATGTGCTTTCTGTCTCTACGGATTTGCCTAGTCTAGATATCTCATGTAAGTGGGGTCTGCCTTCTTTCACTTAACATAATGTTTTCAAGGTTCATCAGCATTCCAGCATGTATCAGTACTTTGTTCCTTTTCATGGCCCCAAAATACTCCATTGTGTGGATATACCACATTTTGTTTATCCATTTATGGGTGGATAGACATTTGGGTTGTTTCCACTTTTGGCTATTATAAATAATGAACATTTTTGTACATGTTTTCGTTTTGCCCTTTTTTTGTGAACATATGTTTTCATTTCTCTTGAGTAGATACCTAGGAATAGAATTGCTGGGTCATATGGTAGCTCTATGTTTGACATTTTGAGGAACTGCCAAACTGTTTTCCACAAAGGCTGTACCATTTTACATTCCCACCAGTAACGTAGGAGGCTTCCATTTTTTCCATGTTCTCATCAACACCTGTTATTTTACTTTTTTACATTGTTATCATAACCATCTTAGTAAGTGTGAAGTGGTATCTCATTGTGGTTTTTATTTGCATTTCACTAATGCCCGACTACTGATATTGAGGGTCTTTTCATGTGCTTATTGGCCATTTGTAGATCTTTGGAGAAAATGTCTATTCAAATCCTTTATCCATTTTTAAATTGGGTTACTTGCTTTTTTACTGTTGAGTTGAAAGAGTTTTTTATATGTTCTGGATACTAGCTCCTTATAGATGATTTGCAAATATTTTCTCCCATTCTGTGGATTGTCTTTTCATTTTCTTGATAGTGTCTTTTTATTTTAATGAAGTAATTTACCTATTTTTTTCTTTGGTTGCTTGTGCTTTTGGTGTGATTTCTAAGAAACTGTTGCTTGAGTTTCGAGCATTCTTTATATATTCTGCTCACAAGTCCTTTGTTAGATTTGTGATTTACAAATATTTTCCTCCCAGTCTAGACTTGTCTTTTCATCATCTTCACAGTGTCTTTAAAAGAGAAAAAATTTTAATTTTGAGAAAGTCCAATTTATTGATTGTGTTCCTTCCAAACGCACTCGCCGTGGTGGACATCTGTCTTAATCTGTTCCTGCTGCTATAACAAAATTCCTGAAACTGGGTAGTTTATAAAGAAATTTATTTGCTCACAGTTCTGGAGGCTAGAAAGTCCTAGATATAAGGTGCTGGCAGATTCTATATCTTGTGAGATCTGCTCTCCACTTCCAAGATGGCACTTTCTTGCTGTGTCCTCACATGGCAGAAGAGATGGAAGGGCCAGGTAACTCTCTGAAGCTTCTTCTGTAAGGACACTGTATTAGTCCATTCCTGTTGCTTATAAGAAAATACCTGAAACTGGGTGATTTATAAAGAAAAACGACGTTTATTGTTTATAGTTTCTGAGGCTCGGAAAGCCGAAGTCCATCTGGTGGTGGTGACAGTGATCCAGCGGTCTCACATTGCAAGACGGTGGAAGCAGAGAGAGCAGAGAGAGAGAGAGACAGACAGACAGACTCCCTCCCTCTTCTTTTAAAGCTCTCAGAACCATGCCCCTGACCACCATTTTTAATCCATTCACCACTTCATGGCCCTATAACCTAATCACCTCTTCGAGGCCCCACCTTACAATTACCATAATAGGATTTCCCACCTTCTTTACAATCACAGTGGGGGCTAAGTTTCTAATACATAAAACTTGGGGCACACAATTTAGGCTTCAGGGAGTTTGGGGGGTACATAATTCAATCCACTACAGACACTAATCCCATTCATGAAGAGCCCTCATGACTTAATCACTTCCCAAAAGGTCCCACCTCTTTTTTTTTTTTTTTCCTTTTTGTCTT